ATAGAATTAAAAACATCTTTATATAATAATCTTTATATAATAATACTACAAACCAATTTGCCTGCTGCTATTTTTATATAGCATTTTTAAAAACGGGCAAAATTTGAAATGAAAAGGAATTAATAACAAAATTAATGAAAAAGTCAATTAAACAAAATAACGAAACATAAAAGCTATAAGTGCAAACAAATTTTGTAATTTGACTGAAACACAAAATTATTTTTACCTTGATGGCAACAGACTAAATTCTTTATAAACTATTAGCTAATGATCAACAAAGTAAATTTTAAATAATTAAAATTTACTTAGTTAAAACCATATTTAACAGTAGACCAAGTAAACTTATGATAGTTGCTAAAGTACCAAAGTAGAACTAAAGAAATAAAATAACAAAATTTAAAAAGTTTGTAATACAAAATAATTTATAATACATAAAAAAGATTAACTGCAGTTTAAAGTATTCACAAAATCTTAACTGACAATAAAATACCATCTTGCCGTGGATAATCATAAACACAGTCACAGCAGCAAATCATTTCAATATTTTGCATGTTCTACTGACTAAAATTTTGATAGTGTTTAATGCAGAAACAGAATCTTTCACCAAAAATTTACTTAATATTAAAAAAATAGAAACAAAATTTGGAATTGAAAAAAACGCAAATGTAAAATTTTTAATAAGTAAATTTTAAAAGATTCTTTTAAAATAAATTAACTTAATAAAATCTTACCTGAATATCAAACACCTCCAGACAATAACACTCTACTAAATTATTAGATTCATAAAAAATACGATTGAATATCTAACACTATTTAAAACCAATAATAATAAAAAACAACTTACTTATATTTAAAATAAGGTCAACATTAGCTTCTATAAAATTAACAGCCTGTCAAGATTCATCCCCTACTAAACAGACTGTTTCATTAAGTAAAGCATTAAAATCTTTAGCAACTTCAAAAACAAATTAACAAATACATACTACATATAAATAAAAGCATACTTAACAATTATATCATTTATATGATAATAGAATCTAAGATATCTCAAGAAATACAAAACTTACCGCTTGCAAATCTAAAATGCCTTGTGCATAACCAGTTAATAGCGGTCTGACTCTTTCAAAACTATAAACACAGTATAATACTATTTCGATAGTTATCTGAATTGTCATTGTTGAGCACTTGGTTTAAAATGTTTAACGGGGGCAGATATGAAACTTTAAACTTTTTTATTATCTTAAGATTAGGTTATTTTAACTTTATATCATTTTTAAAAATAACCAAGTTGGAAAAAATGATTTATTTTAAATATAAAATAAATTTTTTACTCATATTCTTAATAGAAACAACTTATTTTATCCCCCTGACTGTGTTCAAAAAAAGTTTGTCGCGGAAAGCTTTAATTATTAAAAAGCAAAACAAAACAATTTCATAGTTCTCTTTTTATTGTGTTCTATTTTTGAATTTTTAAAAAAACCAATAAAAAATTTAAAAAAAAAAGAGAAGGTTCTAACGATTGGACTCAAACCTCGATAGATATTTCAGAATGTCGTCCGCTCGGTCACACTGGCAAATATTCCTTTACTAAATACTTAGATACATATAAAACACGATTGAATATTTTACATAAAATTACATAAAACTAATTATAAAAAAAAAACTTACTTATATTCAAAATAAGGTCGTCTTTAGCTTGTATAAAATTAACAGCCAGTCAAGAATCAATACAACACCTATAAAACAGAATGTTTCATTAAGTAAAACATTAGAAATTTAAAGTTCCGTAATTTTAAAAACAGATGCAAAAATACATGCTATTTTTTTAAGTATATTCAATAATTATATCATTTATGACAACAATAATAGAAGATACAATGTCATTTCAAGAAATACAAAAATCTTACCGAGTAAACATTTGCAATGCCTCGTGCAGTTTGTTCAGATCAGTTTAAAGTGTTCAAGTTGACTCTTCCAATCACATACGGAGAATCATACTATTTTGATGGTTCTCTAAATTCTGTCATTGTTGCGCACTCGGTATAGAATATTTAACAGGGGCGTTGTAAATTAGCTGTAAAACTCTAATTATTTTTATTACCTAAATATCGATAGTTTTAACTTTTTTTTCATTTTAAAAAATAATAAATTTCATAAGATAATTTATCTTAAATTTAAAAATTTTAAATATTTTTTAATAAAAATACATTTTTAAAACCCCCTTACTGTTTTAAATATTCAGGTCGCCGCGTGGCAAGTTCAAATCATCAGCTTGCTTTTTTTGTTAAATGCACTTTATAGATTTTATATTCTATATATACACATGTTATATACTCATTTTCCTTGCGCGAACTCAACTTAGTTGGAGAAATGTAAATGTAAAACTAAAATAACATGACAATTAAGCGCAACAAATTTCTCCTGTTTTTTGATGTTTTTAGAACTTTTAAGCTTTCTTTAAAAATTCTCTTCCTTTCGTTTGTTTAAGTGTAAAATATTTTTACATTTGTTAAGTATATAATCTCTATACATAATCTTTATTTCGTACTTTAGAAAAATCGAAAATGAATTTAAAAAGAAAACATGCCATAGCACTATGCGTCGCGAAGCGGAAATAGGATTTTACTTACTTTTCAGAAAAAAATTTTCAATTTTAATATTTTAAATATTTTTTAACTGAAACAAGTTAGTATTAGTTAATAAAAAAAAGTTTTTTTAAAATTTTTTTAAATTTGCCTTTTTAGGTGCGGGATTTTCAGGGGTAAAAAAACCCATGTTTTCACTAAATCTTTAAATTACATAAGATAATTTTCAAATTTCTTCATTTTTTTTGCACATTTTCTAATAAATGATACATTTTGTAAATTAAAAACCAAGAAAAGAAAAAAAAAAATATTTGGATCATTGTTTTTGGGTGTCTGTAAAGATTGATCGATTAGACCATGTTACTACAGAGGTAGCCAGTTTTTTATTTTTTTTAAATTTTCTTAAACAAATTGACTTTTTATAAGTAAAATAATGTTCTGGCTACCTTTGTCGTAACATGCTATAAAATCAATTCAAAAGAGGTGGATTTATTAAAAACCGGTTAGTTAGTTTTTGTCAAGAAAAAACTGGATGCGGGCGGAACATTCTTTTCTAGTCTTTAAGTTATAACCTCATCTTGATTTAGAATCTCATCGTGATTTAGAATTTTTTAAAAATGGTTACTTTTAATCTTAGGAAACTTCTGGCTGATAATTTTCCTCCAAGGCATATTTTCACGAGTAAAAATGTATTTGAATGTGCTAAATTTTTGCAGTCCAAGTGTTTATCACTTTATGCTGATTGCACTGTGAATTTCAACATTTTCAAAAGTCTGGCTTTTAATTTAATAAAAAAATTTAATGAGTGTGGAAAAAGAAAAAAGTTCTTTCTTACTAAATATAAACATTTTTTGGATCAAAATCACCAATGCAAATATCTCTTGTGAGTATAATATATTCTATATTGATTTATTATAAATAAGTAATAAATATTGCATTATAGTATATATATATATATATAATATATATATATATATATATATATATATATATATATATATATATATATATATATATATATATATATATGTATATGTATATACATATACATATACATATACATATATATATATATATATATATATATATATATATATATATATATATATATATATATATATATATAATTGCTATTAATTAGAAAAGGTGAAAATCTGATTAAACAGGGTAATCAACTCATCAAGCAGGGTGAGCGTAAAATAAAAGAAAGGCAATTACTGCTTCGTACTCATAAATCCAATGTAAACAGGTATGCATAGATAAATGTATCTCCCTCTTTTTATTTTGCACACACACATACATATTGTTTGACTAAACAATATGTATTGTTTCACAAAACCTTTAAAATGTATATATGTTTTAATGTATTTTTTTATTATTTATAGTGTACCATCTTGAGTACCTAAATCATCTGCAGTCAATACATCTTGTACACCAAAACCTAGAAAGTCTTTTATTAAGCTTACAAACAGGATGAAGCGTAAAAGAACAGATAGTCCTAGAGAACGAGAGGTGGAAGAACTGCAACATGCTGTCAAAAGGTTTAAATCTAATTCTTCTACTGATGGTAGGGCTATTTTATATGGTTCAAATTTGTCATTGCAAGCTCTTTGTAATTTGAAACTTACAGATAGAACATGGACTGAATTTAAAAATATAGTGACTCATAATTGTCATCTTGTTCCTCCAGGTTTAACCAAGTTGAAGCAATACAAAAAATTGACATATCCAGAACAGGTTGAATATTCTGAAACCGAAGTAAAATGTAGTCTTTTCCATATGATAAAGCATTCAGTTTCTAGAGTGTTTGAATATCTTTTGGATTATGAAAGTAATTGCATAATGAGTTTTTTTCACAAGAAAAGCGTGATAATGTACAAATTATTTGCAAAGTAGGAGGTGATGGTCAAAGTGATCAATCTGAGTTTCAAAATTCAGCAACTATGAAAAGAGGTGTAGATGATCGCTCTGTGTATAGTATAGTGTTTGTACTGCTGGAGATCCGAAGTGGAGAAAAAATAATATGGAAAAATTTAATTCCAAATAGTCCAGATGCAACCCGTCATCTTCTTTTTCGTTTTGCAAAAGAGACTGCTAGTTTTATTTAGGAAAAATTTGAACATTTGAAAAATGAAATTTTTTTATTGAAGAATATTGAATTTAAACTTGGTGAAAGTACTTTTGTAGTAAAGTCTAGTTTGTCAACTATTTATACCACAATGAATGATGGCAAAACACTAAACGCTGTTGTATCAAATATGCTTAAAAAAGGAATTCCATCTCAGTCCTGCCATGTATGCCTTGCAAATTCTAAGGAGTTTAACTTTAAAACTATTTGGAAAAAAAATAATTAATTTAAACAAGCATGTTTTGAAACTTGGAATTTGCAGTCTTCATCTATGGATGCGCTGTATGGAGTGGATTTTCAATACTGCTTGTAAACTCCCAGCTGTTAAGCAAGGAAGAAATATTCCATCACAAAAGAGTAAAGAATTTATTGAAAACAAAAAAAAATTCCAGCATTTATTCAAGATACAACTGAATAAAAGGGTTTCTTTTGTCAGGAAAGGATGTGGAACAACCAATACTGGAAATGTTGCTCGCAAATTTTTTAATAACCCGATTGTGACAGGGAGAATTTTGAACTTGGATATCAGAATGATTAAGTTGTTTCGAGATTTACTCATTGATATAAACAGAACAACAACAAGACTGGATATAAAGGTTTTCAAACAGAAATCTGCACATCTATTTGCACTCATAACTAATGAAAAATTTTTAAAAACCATACCTATGTCACAATCTGTGCATAGAGTGATAGTTCATGGTACTTCTTTTATAAGGTATTTTAAGTATCCGATAGGTTCTTTGTCTGAGAGTGCTATTGAAGCCAGAAATAACGAAAACAAAACTGCTCGAATTGGTCATGCTCGTTTAACCTCTTTTGCAGAAAACACTAGGGATACAGCTAATTATTTGTTTATGACATCTGATATGTACCTCTTTTGCAAAAAAAACAAAATGGATAAAAAAAGAGTGAAAACAAAATAGTTTAAGAAAGTGACAGTTCTTCTGATAACTGCTTAAAATAAAGGTAAAATAGTTTTATTATTAATATTGTTAATAGTTTTGATTGATTTTTTTTTGGTTAGGCAATCTCTTAATTTTGGTTAATTAACAATTCAAAGTTGCGTTTTTTTTTTTTTTATGTTTTTAAAAAAAAATTTAAGAAATAATTTAATCAATTTTAACAAGCAATTAACTATTTTAGGAAGTAAGACCATGAAGAATCATACTGATGAGCTGTTCTGCGTTGAATTTTTAAAACACGGCTATTTTCATAGCCACAATTGATTAAAAACATCTATTAGAATAGAACGTTGAGAAACTGTGAAAGAATGCAAAGAGCCAAGTATCATACAATAGCAGAGTTGTTTATTATATTCAATGATATTGTTTATTTTGAAATAGTGTTCATATACATAGTTTGTAAAATTCTATAAAATATAGGCACCTACTTTTTTTTGAATAAAATCATCCGGACATGTGTAGTTTTCCGGGCAAATCTAGAATTAGTCCGGACTAACCGAAAAAAATACAATAAATTGTTTTTTTATGAAAACCGAATATGATTCTTTTAAATATAGAAATATAAATAAAAATTTGATGTCTTGCGAAAAAATAAGTTAAATATTTTAAGTCCTTCTTTATTTATATGCCTATTTCCTCATTTTGTATAAGAGCAACGCATAGTGCATAGGTAGGATTCGAACCATGGCTCTTCAGGTCAGCTGCCAGCGAGCTGACCACTAAGCTATGCCACTATGAACGATTGAACAAATTTTAAAAATATATAGTAAATAAAAGTCTTTATAAAACGACCATCGATCAAAATTAAGATGTTGCCGCAATGCAGTTTTCAAGTGAAAGTAAAACTTAAAAACTTGATACATGTTTTAGTATGTTTTGACATTTCACATTTTGAAGTTTACGTAAGTTAGTTATTAGCACACACTTTCGTTAATGTTTTCTTATAAAAAGGTGCTGCGACTCTTCCAAGCCAGTACCTCGGTTGCAATGGCTGCGTTGGGTTTTGTGTCAAACGTGCTCGAAAGGGAACTACTACTATTGAGTTCCGTATTATTATATAAAGATGATATGTTTCAGTTTTAATACACAGAACACCCAAAAAATACATAAGTATGCAAAACACATTACTTGACACTGATCCTGTGAAAGCAAAAAAAAAAAAAAAAAATTAAAAAAATAAATAAATTTTTTAACTGACATAATAAAACAGAAATGTATTATAATGGCACTTTGCTTAACATTTGATTTTTCTAATGTTTCTAAATAGAATAAAGAAATTTATTAACAATAACATAGAAACTAATTTGCAATGTATAGAAAAACTAAAAAACCTGAAAACTAAAAAGTATTTAATGTTTGTAAACAAACAGCAACAGAATAGAAAAAAAAATTATTCTAACCTTGATTGCGACGTACTAATTTTTTTTTTACACTATTAGGTAATGATCAACATAGTAAAGTTTAAATGACAAAAGTTTACTTTAAGTTAAAACCATATTTTATTGTAGATAAAGTAAATTTATGATTGTTGGTAGAGCACTAAAGTAAAACTAAGGAAAAAAATAAAATTCAACTAAATTAAAATGCAGTTAAACATGAAAAATAACTCTACCATCATGAGAAAAGGTAAAATTATAAAAACAAACAAACAAACAACAACAATAAAAGAATATTTCTTTTTATTAAAAATAAGAACCTCTTATTTAAAAAAATAACAGATAAGGACACATCAATGAACAAATAGACTTATCGATTAAAAACATACAGAGTGAAAAAGCAATTTTGAAGTTCTTTCACAAATTTATTGTAAGTACTTATTAGATACCCCCTAATTCAATGATTATTGTTGATTATTATAATAATTATTAACTGCAATTTAAAGTATTCACAAAATCTAAACTGAAAATAAAGTATTATTCTGACACGGAGAATCATAAACACGGCCACAACAGCAAATTATTTTAATATTTTGCATGTTCTGCTGACTAAAATATTGATGGTGTTTAGTGTAGAAACAGGATGTACATCTTTTCAACAACTTTAGATAAGAGTATTCTCTTCCTCTTTAATAAGGGGAAACCTTTTTTTCTTGTTCTGGGCCCACACTCTATGTACACTATAGGATGTGGGCTCTTATCTCAATTGATAAGGGCCCACATCCTTATTCTTATTGAAATTGCTAAACGATATTTTAATTTCATACTTAATTATAAAACCTAATTTTAATCTTGCAGAGATTGTTACAACTTAATTGGCTAAAATAAATATCGAAAAAGTAAATATAATTTAGAGCAATCAAATTATTAGTAAAATATTTCATAAAATAGAATAACACAATCACATTAGCAAAAAATAATGTTTTTCTTAATCAGTTTTAAAGATGAAGAAAAATTAGAAATTAAAACCTACAATATGTTATAACCTGAGGCACTAAAATTGAAATACCAAACAAAATATTGTTATTTAATTTTAATTAACTAACAATATTTTGTAACACTTAACACATACACACAATAACACTTTACTAAATACTTAGATTCATATAAAACACAATTGAATATTTTACATAAAATTATTCAAAACCAATAAAAAAAAAAACAAAAAAAAAACTTACTTATATTTAAAAAATGGTCGTCTTTAGCTTGTATAAAATTATCAGCCTGTCAAAAATCAATGCAACACCTATAAAACAGAATGTTTCATTATGTAAAACATTAGAAATTTAAAGTTCAGTAACTTTAAAAACAGATTAAAAAATACATACTATTTATATAAGTATATTCAATAATTATACTATTTATGACAACAATTTATGACAACAATAACTATATCATTTATGACAATAATAATAGAAGATAATATGTCATTTCAAGAAATACAAAAATCTTGTGTACACATTTTACAATGCCTCGTGCAGTTCAGTTCAGATCAGCTATAAGCGTTCGAGTTGACTCTTCCAATATTATACGGAGTATCATACTATTTTGATGGTTTTCTTAATTCTGTCATTGTTGCGCACTCGGTTAATAATATTTAACTGGGGCGTAGTAAAGTAGCTGTAAAACTCTAAATATTTTTTATTACTTTGATATCAGATAGTTTCAACTTTTTTTTCATTTTAAAAAATAATAAATTTAATAAAATAATTTATTTTAAATCTAAACTTAAATTTTTGAATTATTCTTTTAATAAAAATATACTTTTAAAACCCCCTTACTATTTTAGAAAAATTTTAGGTCGCCGCGTGGCAAGTTCATCAGCTTGCTTTTTTTTTTTTAAATGCACTTTATAGTTTTATAGATTTTATATTCTATATATACATGTTATATACCCATTTTTCTTGCATAATATCAACTTAGTTGGAGAAAACTTAAAATGTAAAACTAAAATAACATGACAAATAAGCGCAACAAATTTCTCCTGTTTTTTGACGTTTTTAGAACTTTTAAGCTTTCTTTAAAAATTCTCTTCCTTTTGTTTGTTTAAGTGTAAAATACTTTTACATTTGTTAAGTATATAATCTCTATACATCTTCAAAAGTGATTAGTTTTGTATTTTAAAAAAATCAAAAAAGATTAAAAAAAAGAGTACCTGGCACGGGAGTTGAACCCTGGCTCCCCTGAATAGTAGCTCAGCAAGCTGACCACGAAGCTACGCCGTCTTACCAATTATAGACATTTTTAAAAATATATACTTAACGAAAAACTTTATAAAACAGCTATCGGTCAAAATTTAAAGAGATGTTGCCGCAATGCAGTTTTCAAGTGAAAGTAAAACTTAAAAACTTGATACATGTTTTAGTATGTTTTGACATTTCGCATTTTGAAGTTTACGTAAGTTAGTTATTAGCACACACTTTCGTTAATGTTTTCTTATAAAAAGGTGCTGCGACTCTTCCTCGCCAGTACCTCGGTTGCAATGGCTGCGTTGGGTATTATGTCAAACTTGCTCGAAAGGGTACTACTACTATTAAGTTCAGTATTATTATATAAAGATAAAATTGAAAAAATTAAAAAATTACAATATTTGTAAAAATATAAATTATATGCTATGTCTTGTCATGTCAGAGCGCAGTGAACCTATTGATATGCAAGAATTAAAATCAATTTTATATCGGCGCTATAATAATTTTTTAAACTAAACTAGTTTTTTAGTTGGTCCTTGAAAATACACATTTTTTTACTGGTCCCCATAAATGCATAAACTTTTGCATGCCTTTATAATAAAGTTTAAGAAAAAAAACTGCAGTATTTGTAAAAATATAAATTATATACTACGTCTTGTAATATCACAGAGCGCAGTTAATCTATAGCGCAGTGGTTTGCAAGAATTAAAGTCATTTTTAAATCAGCGCTATAATAATTTTTAAACTAAACTTATTTTTTAGTTGGTCCCCGAAAATGCACATTTTTTTACTGGTCCCCTAATATACATCCTTTTTTGTATGTTATTATATTAAAACTAAAAAAAAATTACAATATTTGAAAAAATATAAATTATATGCTATGTCTTGTCATGTCACAGAGCGCAGTAAACCTATTGGTTTGCAAGAATTAAAGTCATTTTTAAATCAGCGCTACAGTAATTTTTTAAACTAAACTTGTTTTTTAGTTGGTCCCCGAAAATACATATTTTTTTGCATGTTATTATAACAAAATTAAAAAAAAAATTACAATATTTCTAAAAATATAAATTATATGGTATGTCTTGTTACGTTACAGAGCGCAGTGAACCTATTGGTTTGCAAGAATTAAAATCAATTTTATATTGACGCTATAGTAATTTTTTAAACTAAACTTGTTTTTTAGTTGGTCCCCGAAAATGCACATTTTTTACTGGTCCCCGAAAATGCATATTTTTTTGCATGTCTTTATAATAAAATTTAAGAAAAAAAATTGCAGTATTTGTAAAAATATAAATTATATACTACGTCTTGCCATATCACAGAGTCAGTGAACCTATTGGTTTGCAAGAATTAAAGTCATTTTTAAATTAGCGTTTTAGTCATTTTTTAAACTAAACTTGTTTTTTAGTTAGTCGCCGAAAATGCACATTTTTGTACTGCTCCCCGAAAATACATATTTTTTTTCATGTTATTATAATAAAATTAAAAAAAAAATTACAATATTTATAAAAATATAAATTATATGCTACGTCTTGTCATGTCACAGAGCGCTGTGAACCTATTGGTTTGCAAGAATTAAAATCAATTTTATATAGGCATTATAGTAACTTTTTAAACTAAACTTGTTTTTTAGTTGGTCCCCGAAAATGCACATTTTTTTGCATTATAATAAAATTAATAAAAAAAACTACAGTATTTGTAAAAATATAAATTATATACTACGTCTTGACATATCACAGAGTCAGTGAAACTATTGGTTTGCAAGAATTAAAGTCATTTTTAAATCAGCGCTATAGTCATTTTTCAAACTTCTAAACTTCTTTTATTCTTTACTTTTTCTTTACTTTTTCTAAACTTCTTTTTAAACTTGTTTCTAAACTTGTTTTTTAGTTTGTCCCCGAAAATGCACTTTTTTTTTCTGGTTCACGAAAATGCATAATTTTTTGCATGTCTTTATAAGGAAATAAAATATAAAATCTCAGAAGTAATAACATTTTTTATTCGTGTATCTAAGCCTTCTCATTCGTGTCATTTCATTCGTGTATCTAAGCCTTCTCATTCGTGTCATTTCATTCGTGTATCTAGGCCTTCTCATTTGTGTCATTTCATTTGTGTATCTAGGCCTTCTCATTTTTATATAAAAAATAATTATTTCTAAGTTATGCGTTTCAGTCAAATGATTAGTTATAAGACTTTTTTTTTAATTATTTCTACATTGATTTTAAGAGAGCATTTCGATAGCAAGTTATAATTGGATGTATTTTTGATGGTGTAAGATAAATTTTTGCCGCTGGTATATTTAATTGTAGACTTTTTTTTCAGATGTGCTCAGAAATGTTATTCAAATTTGTTATTTATTTGAGTGTTGCAATCAAGTAACACTAGATAAACACGTTGAAAAAAATCTGAGATTAAATAATTTTTAATATACTTTGTGCGTCTATCTTTGTTTTCAATTTTTATGGAGTTAAACCTAATTTTTGAAGAGCGACCTTAGGTACAATAGCTTGTGATTTTAGTTTCAATTAAAAAAATTTATTGTACCTAGAGCCACAAATTATTAGGCGCTTTTACATGACGGAGATCTATAATTCAATACTTTATACTTATATTAATACAAATTAATTAATATAGAGATGTGATCATATCAGTTTCGCTATTTTTAAACAAGCCTTGAGTTTAGATATTCAATAAATCCGTTAAAAAATCCTTGTGCGAAGTTTTTAAAACCATCGTCTAAATTTAAAAGATTTAGGTTTGTGTAAACTTTTTTTTTTCAATGAATTGCTAATTTAATTTGATAAAAGTTCATAAATGGCTTCCTTGTTATGACTTGTTCTGTCAAAGAGAATAATCAAGGAAACTGTGTTAAGTAAATTAAACAAACTTTATTTTGTCTTTAAAAATAAAGCCGATCTTGATACCAAAACTAGTAAATACAGGCGCTCTAACAACTAAGCTTTAACTGGAAATTTTCTATAGCTGGAGTGGCTATAAAATTGTCAAGAAAATTCTTAATTCTTATACTTTGGTTTGCAAAATGTAAGTCATTTTTAAAATGACGCTAAAGATACTAAATTTTTCAAATTAAGTTTGTTTTACTATTTGTCCCCGAAAATGCACATTTTTATGCATGTCCCCGAAAAAACACATTTTATTGTAGGTCCCCGTAAATGACCATTTTATGTTTAAAAAATTTA